GGTCCATGCAGTAGGTGTGGATGGCACGAAGGTGTGAAGAGAACAGCTCCCCTGTGTGGGAGGCCCGGGGGAGTTTCCAGCTATTTGGTAGGGCCCGGCGGATTTCTCTTTGACCACCTTGACGCAGTCTCACCACCTTTTTGCATGGAAACTCAAGCACCCCACTAAGAATTCTGTAATCTATTGAGGCGTTGTTTGCCACTGATGTGAGCTTGAGAGTTAATGTCACTGATAATGTCTTGGTGAGTGGGCCTTTGACAATTTACACACAGGAGCACAATTAAGCCAAGGCCATTTCTGGACACCTTATTATGTACCTACCCATTGCCCTGAAATTGGGCCCAGACATATAGCACACCTTCTGGGAGGGGCTTGAAAATATCCTAAATATTAATGCAAGTTATGGGAGTGAGAGCTGAAACTGCTATGGCAATAAATATAGTTATTGTTATCTCAAAGGCTAGCTTGTCTTTACAAATTTTTGGAGCATAGAAAATGTAACTGTTTTGGCTGCTTTTATAATTTTTAGCTAGAAGAATTAGGATGCTTTTATTAAAGAAAAATGCTTTTGATTATTGCTTTATCGTTTATGGGGTTGTAGGAGTCTATAGTTGTAGGGGGATTTAACATTTGAAGTTTCTGTTTTAGATTTTACATTTTTTCCCTTGTAACCTATTTTCCCATTAAATGATGGGTGAATTGTAGAAATAGAAATGTGATAGGAAAGTACTACTGATTAGCAGGTAATCGCATGTGCCTTGGCCTTGGAGTCCCGGCTGTCGCTCCATGGCTACTGTGAAGAATGAACAATGGCTTGCTTTGAAGAATATGAATACAGTATTTTGCAGAATTATCTTTAGGGGCACCTGCTTAGTCTTGATGTGCAGACGGGGTGACCAAATGTCTATACATGCCCCCCTAGTCTTGAAGTAAAAAATAGAACAATTAGTTGCTTGTGTAGAAGCTTGAGAGGGATTTTGAGTAAATAAAAAGGACAGCTTTTTCCTGGGCTGTTGTGAGAATGCACCAAATGTCAGTGTCTGTGTCTTTCTTTATCACTGACTCCATGCACCCTTCCCGAGCTCCGAACTCGGCTGCAGCTGGACTCCGACAGAAAGCTACTTATACAGAAAGAAGGAGAGACAAAAAGAAAGCTCTTCCATTTGCTGGTTCACTCCAAAAGTGACCATGATGGCTGGTGTTGAGCCAATTCAAAGTCAGGTGCCAGGAGCTTCCTCTGTGTCTCCTACACGGGTACACGGTCCCAGGGCTTTGGGCCATCCTCGACTGCTTTCCCAGGCCACAAGCAGGGAGCTGGACGGGAAGTAGAGCAGCTGGGACAGCAATCTGTGCTCATATGGGATCCTGGTACCTACACGGAGAGGATTTGCCTATTGAGCCATCACAGCACGTCCTCCATCCACTTGAAAAAAATTATTCTATCTTCCCACAAACATTTTGAAGTCTCTGCGTGTGTTGTGCCGCTCTTGCATAGAATTTTGTGTGTGCCTGTTGAGTACACCAGGACTAGAGTATGCTTCAATGTGTTCAGAGGCACCGCCTCCGTAGTTAATCTGGTGTTGCTGCTTTCTTGTGTATCCTCTTGATGAGCTGACACCTTATTCACATGACAATCTTGTTTGTTTTCTAAGAATTGTTGGCTTAAGTCTGAGTTGTCTGATAGAATCATAGCCACTCTTAACTTCTTTGGTTACCTTTGCACAGATGTGTTTTGGCCTACAAGTGCCTTAAAAATTTTTTTAAAGACTTATTTTTATTTTTATTGGAAATGTGGATATACAGAGAGGAGAGACAGAGAAGATCTTCCGTCCGATGATTCACTCCCCAAGTGAGCGCATCAGCCGATGCTTTGCCTATCTGAAGCCAGGAGCCTCTTCCGGGTCTCTCACACGGGTGCAGGGTCCCAAAGCTTTGGACTGACCTCGACTGCTTTCCCAGGCCACAAGCAGGGAGCTGGATGGGAAGCGGGGCTGCCGGGATTAGAATCAGCACCCATATGGGATCCCAGGCATGCAAGGTGAGGACTTTAGCCGCTAGGCCACCGCGCCAGGCCCACAAGTGCCTTAAATTGAACGTGATCTTGTATAGACAGTGTAAGATAGATATTCGTCATCACTCTGTCTTTCGGACAGTTAAAATTTGTACGTATTGACTTGAAAGGCACTCAAAGAAGTCTTCCAGATGCTGGTTCGCTGCCTGGATGCCCACAAGTGCAGAGTCCTCTTCATGGACAATTTATCTCATTTACATTTGGAGTAGTGTTTGATACATAATAACTAAAACAATTTTATTATTCTGTTTTATAATTCCCTTTTTCCTTTGTTTCTTGCTGTCATGCTTTGTAATATTTGATGTTACAACCTTTTTTTTTTTTTCTTAAAGATTTCTTTTATTGGAAAGTCAGATTTAGAGAAGGAGAGACAAAAATCTTCCACCTGCTGGTTCACTGCACAAGTGGTACAACCACCACAGATGAGCCGATTGAATGCCAGAAGCTTCTTCTGGGTGTCCAATGCAGATGCAGGGTTCCAAGGCCATGAGTCACCTTATCTATTTACTTATTATTTTATGATACAGTTCCAAAGGCTTTGGAATTTCTCTTTTCCCCTCTCCAAGCCCCTCTTTTACTGATGACCCCTATGTTACAATAGTACAGTCCTTCAGAAAACCGTCATAACTCCATCATTCTGCTCTTTAAGCGTATCCGGACGTTGTAGGTATGGACAGTGGCAGATCCAGCATCCCATTGTCAAGCTGTATTTAGCAGTTTCATTGGGAGTCCATCTTTGGTCTGGAAGTAGAGATGCACACTGCATTGTATCTTCACGAAACAGAACAAAGGAAACATCTGTGGGTCAACTGCTGTGTAATGCATCTTCACGTCTCATGGGAGTGCTTTATGAAGGAAGCTAAAATCTTAGTGCGCCAGTCCTTAAGGTCGTATCCAGAGGATAAGGATCAAAGGCCTCCCTGTCCACACCTTCCTTCTGCCTCTACACCCCACTCTTCGTCTGCATCTCCCTCCGCGATGTCTGCAGGCCGGGGAGAGGGCTGCCTCTACCTCCAGGCTACGACTTCCTCTTTCCTATCAGCCTAACTCTGAGGAGAAACATCCCATCTTGGACCAGAGCACATTCCTGCATCCCCTTCCCACTGCTTGCGAGATTCCCGCCATTCCAGTTATCCGCCAATGAAATGTAACCTCCTGGCATCTTACCTGAGAACCCCACCCACCGATGCCTTGCTGCCCCTTTCCCAGTCCCTGCCCACTTACCAATCACCTGGGACAGCCTCACTCCCCAGCCCCTTGGGGCACGCCTGCAGCCCCTCCCGATTTCCCACGCACCCCACACCTTGCAGGCTCACCTGGGTTGTACAAAGGAGCCTCCATGGGTGCTCCCCTTCTCGCTTCTCTGCCCCTTCGCTTCTCACCTGGCTCTCCCGGTCCTCCTCCATCCTGCTCCCTTCCCCTGCCCTGGCAGTCCCCATTCTGCCACCATGCCAGGATTCGTGTCCCTTCAGGGTCTCCCCGTCCACCCCCGCTTCCGTTCCTACCCTGCTGGAATAAAGGACCTCCTAATATTTCAGCTCGTGGTAATCTAAACGTGAAAAGAGGATTGGGCTGTGGGAATTAGCTGTGCATAAGAATGTAAGACCTTCAAGTGCTTTTAAAATCTAACACCTGCTCCTGGACCTTTCTCACTCCTGACAAACGCCGTCAGGGTGCCCGGCACAGGAAACAGGGCTGCTAGATCTGATGTTAAATGCATGCATGCAGGGGCAGAGGGGCACACGTTAAATAAGAGCAGTAGCCGTTATCCCCGCCCTGCCCAGTTGTTGGTCCCGGGGTAACCCCTGGTACTGCATCTGTGTGTGGTCTCCCGGAGGTGACACAGCAGATGCTGCTACAGGGCGGGGTGGGGGGAGGCAGATAAGGAACAGGGAGTTGCAGTTTCCCACCAGCATCACGGCCCGGCCGGCTAAGCCGCCATCTGTGACGCAAGCACGGCCTGTGGAAGCTATGGCTGCTTCATCCTAGCCAAGAAGACGCCCTGGACCAGACAGGCCCCGGGCCAGTACCAGCAGCCTCGAGTCCCGGTTCCCGTTCCGCCTTCCTGCTCAGTCACTCCCGAGAGGAGGCAGTGGTCACAGCGCCAATCATTGAATTTGAACCTGGACTGACAAATACGGGCTGTGGACTTCTGGGTGCGAATGAGCGGGGCGGGGAGCCCTGTTTCTTCAAAGACACATGTCTAGAAAATCAGAACTTTTCCCAAGTGGTCCTGCCTTTTGATTTCTCTTTCTAGGCCCGAAGCCTTGGTCAACTTTAAAGAAAGACGCTGAAGCGAGCGCCTGGTTTTAAAGGGCCCGCACACGCGTGGTCGAGCTCCCGCGCGCCTTCCACGGCCTCTGCTCTGGCGCCTGCGCAGAGTCCCGTCTCCACAGGCCTGCGCAGCCGAGGCGGCGATGCGCCTCAAGACGGCCTCCTGGGCGCCCGCCGGCCCGAGTCCCTGCCCCGCAGCCCGGCCTCGGGTCCCGCTCCGCGCCGAGGCCTCCCGACCGGACCGGCCGGGCCTGGGCGCCACCTGAGCCGGGCCGGCCGAGCGCCCAGGTAACCGGAGGCTAGTGGGCGGCGCCGCGGCGCGCCACGTGACGCGCCCCCGCCAATGGGCGCGCAGACCGCACTTTGCGGCCCCGCTTCAAACCAACGAGCGTGAGGCCCCGCGGCCTCGGGGCGCCCCGCCTCCCCAGCCACCCCTGCGCGGGGTCGCGGGCCCCGGGAGATGGCGGGAGGGGGTGGGGGCGCCCCGGCGCGGGGGGCGGGCCGGCGGGGTCGAGTGACGGCCGGCCTCGCCTATTCCGGGCGCGGGCCGCGGCACGCGCGCGCGGCGGGGTGGGCCCCGCAGCCAATGGGGGGCGGGGGGCGGCCCGGGCGGCGGGGAGCCCGCGGCCGGGGAGGGAGGAGGAGGAGGGGGCGGGCTCCCAATCCGGTTCCATCCGGTTCTCCCACCGCCCCCGCCGCGGGTCCCAGCAGCTCGGGCGGCGGGAGGAGCGGCAGCGGCCAGGCCAGCCCGGCTCCGTGAAGGCTCTCGGCGCGCGCCGCGGCCCGCAGGCACCCCGCCACGCGCGCTTCCCGCCGCCACGATGCCCAAGAGGAAGGTGAGGGGCGGCCCGCACGCGCGCACACGCCCTCCCGCCCGGGCGCCGCCGCCCGCGCCCGCCGCTCCCGCGTGAGGGCCAGGCCGCGCCCACGGCGGCCGCGCGGGGCCCCGCACACGGCCCGCGGGGGGCTCGGCGCGCGCTCGGGGCGGCGCGGGGAGCCGGCCTTCTGGAACGTTCGGGGACCCCGAGGGGGCCGCCGGAGCGGGGCGGCGGGGCTGACGTCACGCGGCCGGGCATTGTTCTGGCGGGCGGGCGGGCTGCGGCCACTGGGCGCCTCTGCTTGTCCCCGCAGGTCAGCTCTGCCGAAGGGGCGGCCAAGGAGGAGGTGAGTGGTGGGCGCGGGCGTGCGGGCGGCGGGCGGCGGGCGCGTGGCGGGCCGCCTCGGTCACTCTGCGCGCCCTCTCTCTCTCCCCAAGCCCAAGAGGAGATCGGCCAGGTTGTCGGCTGTAAGTAGAGCGAGCGCCTAATCCTCTCGTCCCGCGTGGGGTGGGGGGCCAGGCCTGCGGCGGCCAGCTGCGGCTGCGGGGCGGGCTGCTTGTTTTTGGGGTGTTTTGTGTTTGCTTTTGCGTTTTAGAAACCGACTCCTGCAAAGGTGGACGCGAAGCCCAAGAAGGCAGCTGGCAAGGTAGGGTGCCAGGCAGGCGTGGGGCTTCGGGAAGGGATGCCCCGGGCCGGGAGGCGGGTGGGCTGCCAGTGTAGTGGGCGTGGGGGCGAGTGCTGCGTGGCCGGGCTCCACGTGGGCACGGCGATAGGAAGAGCTGACTGGAATGGAGGTGCAAACTAGATCCTTTCTCATGCACGTGTTAAAACTCTGGGCCTTTTCGACACAAACTTTCCTGTTCTGGTCCTTTTTGAAAAAAATACTGAAGCAGATACAAGCATCATTTCTGCTTTTGATAGGATATGTTATTCAATCGGGAACAATCTGACTTTATCCCCAGTGGTCTTTTTTTTTTTTTGTCGTGAAGAGCAGCAGGAGTTTGGACCAGCGTGTCACTTCAGCTGTCACGGAATGTTTTCGTTTCCACGCAGCACCAGTTCCCCTAGTCTTTGCGTGGACCCCGCGCAGAGGCTGCCGGGCCCGCCTGCACCTCTGGGTGTTGCTCCACGTCTCTTGGGGTCTCGTGATGGAGCAGTTGGCCATGGCTGCATTTTTCGTTGGCAGCCAATGTTAAATGACTGCGATGCTAATACCCAGAAGTGTTGAAGTTGACATGTGATTGTCAGGCCTCCACGACAACGATCAGTTCGCCAGTCCGTGTGGCTGCTCCTGCTGTCCGGAGGTTAGCCAGCAGCATAGGGAAGCTGGCCGTACAGCACGCGGCCTGCGGTCAGCTGCGTGGCCTTGCTGGGTGGGGGAGAGCCTTGGCAGGCCGCAGCTGTTGGGGCAGTTTTTGTGGATGCTGCAGGGAGTCCCGGCGCCTCCCGCCTGTGGTGCAGAGGAGCCCTCAGTGGGGCTGGATGCTGTTCTCCTGGGAGTTCCCCGAGTGGTGGTGGTAGCAGCGTCTGGGGTAACTAACCCCGGTGTGTGATGGGCAGTAAGTGACCATGTCAGCCATGCTACAGCAAGACAAACCGTGCGAGTGGCGTTGCCATCCTGGTCTGGTGCTCTGTTGCAGGAAAAGTCGTCTGACAAGAAGGTGCCGGCCAAGGGCAGGAGAGGGGCAAAGGGCAAGCAGGCCGAGCTGGCCAACCAAGAAACCAAGGAGGACATGCCCGCAGAAAACGGAGACACTAAAAACGAGGAGGTGAGAGGCACCTGCCGACGGACGGGGCAGTTGGGCACATGAGGCGGGCAGGCAGTGTTCTAGGTCCTGAAGAGGAGCGCTCAGTGGCTCTAACCGGACGGAGTCCAGTGCACCCAGTTCAAGTAGTTTGTGTGAGTTCTGGAAGATTTAATGCATGAAGTAGTGGTGAGGCTCATTTTTGTTTGACATTGCCTGGGGCCTAAATAATTGGCTGATTTAAAATTTCATTCACATTATTTTATTTGTGGCTTTAATTTTTTTTTTTTTTGAGATATATTTTCATTTGAAAAGCAGGATTTTATTTTTATTGAAAGATTTGCAGGGCCCGGCACGATAGTGCAGTGGTTCAAGTCCTTGCCTTGCACACGCCAGGATCCCATATGGTTGCCAGTTCTAATCCCAGCAGCCCCACTTCCCATCCAGCTCCCTGCCTATGGCCTGGGAAAGCAGTTGAGAATGGCCCAAAGCTTTGGGACCCTGCAACCGAGTGGGAGACCAGCAAGAGCTCCTGGCTTCTGGCTTCGGATTGAATCAGCTCCAGCTGTTGCAGTCACTTGGGGAGTGAACCATTGGACGGAAGATCTTCCTCTCTGTCTATATATCCGCCTTTTCAATAAAAATAAATCTTTAAAAAAAAAAGATTTGCAGAGAGGAGGAGATACAGAGAAAAACATCTCTGCTGGTTCACTCCCAAAGAAGCTTCAATGGCCAGAGCTGAGCCGATCCAGAGCCAGGAGCCTCCTCCGGGTCTCCCCCGCCGGCGCAGGCTCCTGAGGCTTTGGGCCATCTGCTTTCCCAGGCCACAAGCAGGGAGCTGGCTGGAAGTGGAGCAGCTAAGATGTGAACTGGTGCTCACGAGGGATCCCAGGTGTGCAGAGTGAGGATTGTGGCCACTAGGCCATCGCACCAGGCACTGAAAGACAGATTTTACAGAGGAGAGGTGGAAGCAGTCTTCCGTCTGCTGGTTTACTCCCCCATGGCACTACCACAACCAGAGTTGGGCCAGTGCAAGCCGAGGGCTTCGAGGTCCCTCCAGATCTCCCAAGTGGGTGCCAGCCATCCTCGGCTGCTTTCCCTCGCCCCAGCAGGCAGCCTGGGAGAAGTGGAACAGTCAGGACGGGAACTGGCCCGTGTGGGACACCAGTGCCATAGGGTGCAGCATTAGCCTGCTGTTCTACAACAGCACTCGGACTTGAAATTTTTTAAAAATCCACTTGTTTGCATTTGAAACTTTGAGTGTTTTTCTCACTTTTGTTTGTAATGGAGAGTTTTGGTTTTGTCCTTAAAAGTAGCTTCTTGATTAGGACCAAGTGTTTTCTGGCTGAAGTGGATGGGGCCTCTGTCCTGCGTCTTCGCTTAACGGGGAGAAGCGTTTTCTTACCAGTAGACTCCACACAGTATTTTTAACCTTTGATGCATGAATCAACTTCGGCATTCACAATTTATCTGAACTTTGCCACATTTTCCTTCCTGGTTCCAAGCACTTCAAGTGCATGATGCTAAGATGAGTTCCAACAGAACGCTGCCTTGCGGAGCACGCTCTGCCACTGCTCTTGGTTCCTGTGCCGGCGGTGTTGTGTGCTAAGTTTCCCACACCGGCTCAGTGAATAGGGCCCAGAGCCCCGTGCCCACTTCATTGCCAGACACAGACACGCTGAACACACCGGATGCTCCAGCAGATGTATTGTCTGTAAGACACTTAGCCGCTGTAGACAGCTCTGGGAAGTGGAGCAGCACAGCTGGAAGTACCTGGCTCGGAGCAGATTACACAGGATGAGCTTGGGTGGGGGCGGGGCATTGTCCAGGGCTGCCTGTCCGCGCTGGGCGTGCTGCCTGGCAGATCATTCGGGCTGTAGGCAGGGCTTCGCGATTCCGGATCTAGGAATGATGAAGGTGTGATTGGACAGCAGTGAGAAGTGACTGCTCTTCCTTACTTGCAGAGTCCCGCCTCTGACGAAGCCGAGGAGAAGGAAGCCAAGTCCGATTAACACCACACACCACGTCTTATCAGTGCTCCCTGTCTCCCTTCTTGTACAATCCAGAGGAATATTTTTATCAACTATTTTGTAAATGCAAGTTTTTTAGTAGCTCTAGAAACATTTTTAAGAAGGAGGGAAGCCCACCTCATCCCATTTTTTAAGTGTAAATGATTTTTTTTAAGAGGTGAAATCATTGCTGGTTGTTTATTTTTTGGTACAACCAGAAAGTAGTGGGGTATTGGATTAGGGGAGGCTCTGCCTGTCGGTGTCCGCTTCACATTCCGTAGGTGGGTGGCTTTTGTATGCTACAACACACTGCACACCAAATGGCAATTCCCGGTCGTAACTGTGCATTGCATCTGTCTTGGAAATTTTCAGTTGCTTCTCCCGTGTTGGTCAGTAGAGCTGTTTCCTACAGTGAACCACTCCTTGTTGCTGTGTCAGAACCGTGCACGCCCTGTTACACCTTTGGCTGTGGGGGTCCAGGGTTCCTAATCGTTAACGTGCTGTGAAAGACTGAAGACTTGCGTGTCGTGTATGTGATGTTCAGTCGTGAGTGGGTGGGATTTAGTGACAGCAACTGCAGACACTGGTACTTGGTAGCCTCTTGCAGAAGAGCTGCCTTCAAATTCAAAGCTGGAAAGTCACTGGAATAACTTCAAAAATGACAATTCATGGCTTGTTACTCTTGGTACGTATGTTAAGCTTTGTATACAAATTGAAATGTCCATGTACTGATTCTCGACACCAATAAAATCTCAGTTGTGAACCAGTGGTTTATCATTGAGCTTGGAGAATTTTTGTATTTGATTATTCCAGAGTTACTTCAAATTTGAAGGAATAAAATGTAATTCTTGAACATACAGATGCATACTTTGAAAATGTGTGAATACAGTTTATTTACGGAAGTCTAAATCTCAGAATAATCACCGTTCACAGAAGCATTCAGTGTGGGACAAATTACAAGCAGGTAAGTGCAGTTTGCATTTCCTTAGAAAGAGTTTTACTAGGAAGGCAGATGAACAGGAGACAGATCTTTGCCCACTGGTTAACTAACCCAAATTGCCACAGATACTGAAACTTAGCCAATCAGGAGAGAATTCCAAGTCTCCCTCTTGGGAGCAGAATCCCAAGGCCTTGGGCCGTCAACTACTTTTCCAGGCTATAAGCAGTGAGTTGGATGGGAAGTGGAGCCGCTGGGACCTGAACCAGTTCCTATATGGGTTCCTAGTACTCGGAAGGGGAGGATTATCTGCCAAGCGTCCACACTGGACTCTGTACACTGGACTCTGTAGTTTGGCTTTTCAAGGTTCACTCCCAAGTACCATTGCACAAACGGGAGTGGACATGGGAAGAAGACCTTGGAAGAATCCAGACTTCTGGTTAAGTTGCCTGTGCACTGAGTATGAGGGACAGCTGCTTAGGCTCGGGCCTGTAGGCCACCCAGGAGGGCTTTAGCAAAATAGGATTAGGAAAGAGTTCGTGGTTCCTGGTCATGGCACTCCAGAGACTGAACTGATGAACTTGCCTTTTGGTTCCCTAGGATTGGGAGAAAGTAAGCTGACTCCTTGTGGCTCCCTTGCGTGGTTTTCCATGTCACAAGTGTGGCATTTGAAGTGATATTGAAAGATGTAATGGGAATTTTAATGCTGTAATAAGTTTGTAATAGTCCTCAAGCCTGTGGAGTTTTAATAGGCTTTTTTTTTTTGGTCTTATAGGTAAAGAATTTCAGAAATACAAGTTCCTACCCGCCTACTGTATTTATCTGGCTAATGACTCAGGTGTTTAGCAGTCTTAAGGCTACACATTGTCCTGTAGGGCAAAATTACCTGAATGGTTCTAAGTTGTGAGAGCAAAACTGTTAAGACGGTTGTTCCCCTATTTGAGAAAACCGTGTTGCGGGGAGGTGGGCAAGTGCCTTCTCAGTCCTGAGCAATGACATACCATCATCATACATCCTCCATGGAAACGGAGGATGGGGTGGGCAGGCGCTGGCCAAGATGCCTCTGGGCTACGTGGTTCTGAGTCCTGTCTCAATCCCAGCTTTCCTGGTAATGTGCACCTGCTAGGCAGCAGGTAATGGCCCAGGTACTTGGAGACCCAGAGGGAGTCTTGGCCCATGCTTTGCCTTGGCTGAAACCCCCGGCTCTTGGAGGTTTGGGGGGAGTGAACGAACAGGTGGAAGATTAGCAAATGTAAACATTCCAAAAACAGGATACATGGAAAATAAAGGTTTGTTTATTTGAAAAGTAGAGGTTTTTAAAGAAACAGGTGGTTTATCCCCAAATGGCTGTGATGCCAGGTCTCCCACACGGGCAGCAGGACTGCAAGCACTACTGCTGTTTGCTGCTTTTTTCCCGGGTTCAGCAAGGAAGTGGGACAGACCCAGTGAGCCAGTTTCTCAAGTGGAATGCTGCTGTTAGAGTTAGCAGCTTAACCCATTTCATACAGCCAGGGTTGGGCCAATCTGAAGCCAGGAGCGTCATCCACGTGTGCCACATCCCTCATCGTTGGCTGCTTTCCTAGGCCATTGGCAGAGAACTGGAATGGAAACAGAGCTGTTGGGACTTTAAAAGTTGCTCTGTCACAATACTAGCCTGGAAGATACTAATGCTGTTAGCTAATTGTTTTTCATTGGTTAATTAGAACTAGTTGGGGCCAATGTGGCAGAGCTGCATACTAATCCTCTGCCCTGTGGTACCAGTATCCCATATGGGTGCTGGTTCATTTCCTAGCTGCTCCACTTCCCATGCAGCTCCCTGTTTATGACTGAGAAACCAGCAGGGGACAGCTCAAGTCCTTAGACTCCTGCACTGACGTGGGAGACCAGGAAAAAGCTGCCAGCTCCCAGCACTGGATCAGCTCAGTTCTAGGAGACCTTCTCTAGCTCTCCTCTCTCCATAAAATCTGCTTTTCAAATAAAAGTAAATAACAAAAAAAGTTAACAGAAGCCACCCCTTCTTGGCTTCTCAGGTTGAATTTGACTTATGTCCAATGTGAGTTAATCCAATGTTGGGCACAGAGCCTGGAGCCCAGGGGCCAGATTACTGATGTCCCTGGAGACCGGGGACTGGGGAAGGTCCTGGCGAGGCAGTGTGAGGAGTGTGGGGGGATTTTATGGGGTGAGGGGTTGGGAGCTCCAAGTCGGGCAGGTACAATGATGTATGATCGTGGCAGCAGAAAATTCTCACTGAGACAAGACTGCGGAAATGCAGACAAGCTGAAAAGATCCGTCACTCGCTGCTTCAGATGAGAATCTGGGTAGGCAACTACGCAGACACGTCTCTGATGCGCGCTCTCGGGGTTGTGCGCTGCGCTGCGGCGGGAAGGGCTGTACTGCTGTGTGCTAACATTCATGACCTTGACTTTCCATCTAGACAGCATTTGCAAGGACGGCCTAGTATTTATGTCAAAAACATTTTGCCAGACATTTAATTATTCAACTTTACAGCAATTCCCTAATGGCTTTGTGAATTTGCAGTGAAATAATTTTAAAACAATTGGAAGGTGTCTTGCCATTAAGCTTAAATGCATGGTGAGAAACAACTGTGGCAGTCGGCTTTAAGATCATCAAAGTTAGGAGTAGGTTTCCTAAAACTTGAAAAATAAAAGATACAGCTCAATCACAGAAGCTCAAAGTAATTATTTTAGACATGTGAAATTGTCCTCATGCAATCTACTTGCAAGATGACTGAGTGCTTGCTCAGTAGTTCATCATGGAGCTAAGTCATAATTCGGCCATTGTAGGGCTTTAAGAACGTGATTTCCCCTGTGTGCCAGTCAGCCAGTCCAAGGAGCCCCACAACCCTGTTTCTTCTGCCCCTTTCATATTTTTTGAAAGCAAACAAGGACAGATACATTTTAAGTAAATGACAAAAGTGAATGACATGGAGGCTGGCATCCGGCATAGTAGGTAAAACACCTTATACAGGTGCTGGTTTGAGTCCTAGCTGCTCCACTTCCAATTCGGCTTCCTGCTTGATGTGCCTAGGAAAGCAGCAGAGGACGGCCAAGTCCTTGGTCCTCTGTGCCCACAGGGAGACCTGAAAGAAGCTCCTGAGCTTGGCATTAGTCCAGCCTGGCTGTGGAGGCCGTTAGGAGAATGAACAGATGGTTGGAAAATTTTCTCTTTCCCCACTTCTATAACTCCACTTTTCAAGTAAATAAATAAATCTTAAGGGCCTGGCACAGTAGCCTAGCAGCTAAAGTCCTCACCTTGCATACACCAGGATTCCATTTGGACGCCAGTTCTAATCCTGGTGGCTCCACTTCCCATCCAGCTCTCTGCCTGTGGCCCGGGAAAGCAGGCAAGGACGGCCTGAAGCTTTGGGACCCTGCACCCGCATGGGAGACCCGGAAGAAGCTCTGGGCTCCTGGCTTTGGATTGGCTCGGCTCCAGCCATTGCAGCCACTGGAGGAGTGAATCATTGGACGGAAGATCTTCCTCTGTCTCTCCTCCTCTTTGTGTATATGACTTTCCAATAGAAATACAATAAACCTTTAAAAAGTAAAATTAAAAAATCTTAAAGTCAAATGAACAGGAACACAAATGTTTTCTTTGGGGACAAAAAGTGTCCATTTACCTTTGAAGTTGTACACACGTCACAGTTGGATGCAGAGTTAATTTAGTAAGCTATTTTTCCAGAATCCATCCTGCTGGCTTCACTTTTAGGATCACATCTTACAAGCTAGATATTGATGCCAAGAAAGCACCTTCCAACAAGCGAAAGGTTAAGTAAGACTAGAAATTTTTAAAAATCACGGAAGGGCCGGCTCACGCAGGTACAGATGGACGGGAAGGAAGAGGGGGCGGGAGGAAATGGCAACAGGCAGGTGTCAGGCGCTTTGGCTACTGCGCCCACGCAGTGGTGCGTGAGCATCCACCCGATTGTCCCCTGCCGCAACCCCACCTCTCCATTGCACCTGAATGTGACCCCAGCATGTGCGTCTGAGGCAGCGCCTGGCCCGCAGCGAGTGCTCAGTGTCGGCTGGCTTCACTTCCTCGGAGGCTGTCAGAGCCACCCACCACCAGGCTTCCCCGGGAGCCCCACCTTCACTCCCACGTGGGCTGCTGCTTATGAAGAAAGTCTTGGAAGGCGCGCTTGGCTCATGCAACTTTTTAAACCGAGCATGACAGTGGGGGTGGAGGAGCACTCCTACTGTCTGGCTTAGCACTGCTTTTGCCAAGTTTTAAAGTAGCACCAGCAACCCCCACGGCCAAGACTACTATGGCGCCGTCTGACGACAGGTGACGTCACTGTTTGCTATTGTCTCTGAAGGCACTTAAGGTTGACTAGTAGACCGTGACAGCTGAAGAACATATGAAAACCACCAAATTCAAATTATACACGACAATTTCATAATCCACTCATCTGTTATGCGTAATGCTTGGAGAAGAAAGTTTGAAAGTCTTGCACGCGTGGATTGTTTCAGCGTGCGTAGTAGTAAAATATGCAAGACTCTCCAGTCCACTGCTTCCACGGCGGGGCTTCCACAAGCGGGGTGCTTAGAAACGGTCTCAACTGTCACTGCAGAATTCACCTCTTTATGCTTCACTGCTCCTGACTTCAGTTGTTTTCCCAGAAACGGAATACGAACCAAATATTAAACTCAACAAGGTTCATAGGAAACAACTGAGAGCCTGGGAGCTGTGGCAAAAGCACACGCGTGCTCCCTCATGGTCCCAGGCACATGTGTTCCTCCCTGGTCAGACGAGAAATGAGCATTTCTCTATGAAAAGAGCGGGAGTTGTGATGGGGTGTAGCACGT